TATTGTAATGTGTAATGTGTAATATGGATATAAAGAGAGGAAATGGTACGGTTGGTTAGGAGAATGGCGCATTTCTTCCAACCAGGTTTCTAAATATCTACTTCCGTCGAAAGATGTTCCTTTAGAGGACATACTTCAGATTTTTTAATGTCCTTTTTCCTTTGTCCCCGAGGAAAAGAAACACATTCTTTAGAAATTGAAATGTTTGAGTTTTTTGAGGCAATGTTATTGGGATTGAGAGATGTTGAGAAATTTTAGAGAATTAATGTATTTGAAGAATTATAGATAATTAGGAATAAATAAAAACAAACCTTATGACTTGATATCACGAGTTTTCTTGAAGAATAATTATTTAAATAAATAATTCTAAAATTCTAGAAGATTGAAGAAGAAATTAAAAATGTTCGAAATTCTTAATTCGAAGAGAAGTATTTTAAGAATTATTGAAATTATAAAAAATATTGATTGAGAATATAAATTTTAATATTCTCAATTAATAATAAAACGATAATTCAAGTAACATCAGAGAATGAAAAATGAAGAATTAAATACAAAATGAAGTCTAAAACATTGAAAAATTAAACACAATACTTAAAACAATAAGTATTTTCAAATTATGAAATATAATATGCCAGTTAAAAGCATTATATAATAATTGCAATAAAATTAGCAATATATTACTCTTATAAAAGTTTATTTTCAGCAATTACTATACTATATTTAGTATATATATATATATATATATTAATATATTATATATTATTATATATATATAAAATAATATTTTCATATTTTAAACTACACTACATAGAATGCTCAATTATATTTCTTATTCTATTCACTTATAGTGAAATAATCCGAAACCAAGTTGTTTATTACTTGGATAATATTAATCAAGAACAAAGAAGAACAGTGGAGAGTAGAGCAAAGAAGATGGATCCAGTTATAAAGTTAAACTTGCAAACTTTTCAACTGTTTGCTAGTTGTATTTTCTTTGTATAACAAAATTATTATTATATCTTTATTGCAACTTTTATGTAATTAAGCTTTATAGCTCGCGGAAATGAACAAATTTGTTTGACAAATTATCAAAACAATTGATAATTATGTCTATTTTATTCTTCATTATATTTTAATCTTGACACATTATAACATTATCATAGAGAAATGTACCTTCTCCTTCACGTTCGAGGAAATCCTACATGCTCTAAACTTCTCTGTCCATGGCCGCATTTTTGTGGATGACAATGTCGAATATATAGTATCCAGTCGGTCAAATTCCCGAGTTCTTTCTCCTCTCAGGTGTCGAGGGAACGATTCGCGATCTTTCTGGAACGCCATTCCAATTAAAAGTTCGAGGACGTTTTACGCCTCTTTTCCATCCACGATGTTTCCTCGTGTTTCTAAACGTTCCGCGAGTAGTTTGAAATCGCCTCGCAAGACCTTGATTACTTGGACCAGCAAAATATCGTGAAATAGTCGAACGAAACACTAGTTTCAACCAATAAAACTTCTACTCACGACGAGCTTTCTGCTGCAACTTTGAATCCAACTACCTGATTCGTGAAACAGTAGAAAATATATTGCAATAGTGGTAGTGGAAGCATGAAATGAGAGTTAGGAAAACTGCAGAATATTGTTCTCTTAAAATGAATTCTCTTGGATTCGCTTTATGAATAAATTTCAAATGATAAATAAGTTGATAAGGTTATGTCTTGAAAAATGATAGAAAATCGTTAAAAATTAACATAATATATAATAATAATATATAATAATAAAATCTTCTTTCGTCTGATATATTTTTTTGAAATATATTTTAAATTTTCCATATTTATTTTTCAGACATCTCAAAAAAATGCTATACTCATGAAATAACAAAATTTTCATCCATCAATTAGACTCGAAGGGATTAACTCACTAATTCATGTTCTTCCATTTTAAGAAAATTACTGCAAGATTAAAAAATAAATAATAATAATCTATTGAAAAAATGACAAATTTATTCGTGAAACGTGAATCCAGTTGCAATAAAGCGATGAGTTCATAAGTCAAAGAATATAGCGGACACGAAAGAAACGGAAGAGATAGAAGAATACTGACGGTCTAGTCGATTAATCCAAGCCTGACATATCTCATAAGTCCAAGTTAGTGATGCTCGTCCTGACCATTCTTTCTGCGAATATCCACAGCCTATTCCTCTTAATACTAACCAGTGATACAGTGCCAACGGCGGTTATAAAGATGACAAACGTGGCACGACAAAAAAATAACAAGCCACAGGCCGTGATGAGCTTGGAGGATGCTCGACAAACGATCGCCGACGTTTTAAAATGGGCATGTCTCGACTTTCGGCCAGAAATCCACCGACCTCTTTCTAGTCGCAACGATACGCCGCCATCAAGTCAGAATAGTGTAACTCTTGCGGATCTTTTATGAGTGTTTATATATTTATCCCATTGCCTTTGAGTTGTTCGAGTTTAAATCAAAAACTATGCCAAAATATTTTTTACAAGGTTTCTTTTTTCTTTTTTTTAATTTAGGATCTTGGAACTTTATGATTTCATTTGTTCTATTCTGTATAATGAATATTGTTCGTCATATGATTATATATATATAGTAGATATATATGCTATAATTGAACTTTGGAATATGAAAGTTGTGAAAATCAAAAATCACTTTGTTTCTTTAAAATTTTCAGAGTCAATAATTGCATCTATCTTCTCTTCTAAATTATATTATTGATTATAAGTCTTTCTATTACAAAAAAATGAGAAATTTATTCTTTCTATTTAAACTTTCAAGATTTGCATTTATCTTTGATATTGCATAAATATTATTTCTCGGTTATTTATATGAATGTGTTTGTTGCATACGATGAATAATTTTTGGGATGGGGGATCTATCAAAAAAGGCGACTCGAAAAGATACGAGAAGTGGCCTCAGTGATGCAGTGGCCTGTAATGGAGTAGGCTCGAGTTTTAAAGCGGGGCCCTGAGTGCTCTTTTTTTTTTCACAATCCCGTATAATAACGCGCGCGCGCGTGTGGAATGGCGATAAAATGAAAGGCAGACTCGTATCTTTGTTATTAAATATGTAACTATTCTCGCGCACTGAAAATGCATCTATTTTTTTTAAACAAAACAAAGCATTTCTGAAATTCAAATCCATCTTTTTTTCGACTTTTTTCGAATTATTTTACTTAACCATCATGTAAATACCATTAATTTTAATTATTTAATTATAATATTCCTTCGATCGAGATTTAAATTTTAAAAAATAATCGATAATTTATGACCAAAAGACAATTATTTTAAAATTGTTCGAGCAATTTCCATTTAATGAAAAATCTCATTTCTACTACTTCTTTTACTGTATTTTGCTTTATTGTAAGTACGATCACGATCTCTCGACACGGTAAGGCTACCACTACAACGACGAAACTTCAGATCGAATGCTCAATCAACTATCGGCAATCCAATCGATGCCTTTTATAATTCTTTTTTTTTTTCAGGTTTAACTGGGCGAGACAATTTGATAGTTTCTCATCTGATGTTTACCAATTGAAGGATTTAATCAAATGTATTTGTCATGTTTATGTGAATGTTAGAAGCTAAATCCTCAAACGATATTGTATGTAAAAAATAAATAAAATAAATATATCGCAGTTTGTATTTCTCATTTTGTACAAGTGAACAAGTGAACTATTTTATAAATAATATGTTAGAATTAAAAACGTAAAAAAATTACATTTTCATTATATCTTTTATTTCGTTTTATAACCATTTCGCATATAACCATTCCCTTTATTTATGCATAAATAACATAGCATGAACAGAAACAAGTCAATTAATGATATTTATACAATTATATTTATCCCAACCAGATTTTTTTAAGTACCTATGTTAACCACTTCATACACTGTACAATCATTTGAATTTAAATTTATATCCTCACCAATTCTCAAACCAAATTTCCTTGAAAACAGAACCTCTTCCAAACCGACATGCATACTCGACAATCCCTATTTTCTTCTCAAACAATCATACCTATATATTTGCATTCAACTTCTTTCCAATTCGATTTTACGATAAATCAAAAAATCTGAAAATCTTCCTCTCGAGACACGAAACATCATCGAGAAAAAAAATATTTCGTGTCTTTATTGATCGTTGTTAATTCAATGACGGAAACGTATTTTTTCAAATAGCGGCTCAATGAATAATAAAATGTTCACCGATCAACCGACGACATTCTAGCCGTGCCCACCCATCGAAATCCTCTTAAAATCTAATTCGGTATTTCCCAATCTTTCTCGAGTTGTCTTTTTTTATCGTAGTGAAATAACTTGTCATCCTCTTTATATTATTAATAAAGATTACTTTAGAAATACACAGATGACCAGATTTTATATGCGAATTTATAATTTCTCTCAAAGGAGAAGTTCATTCAAAGGATTCTTAATGAAATTTAAAGAGATGATATTTTATAATAATAACAATTTTAACTGTAAACATTTATGAGAAATCAGCTAGTCATAAAAAGTTCTTTGCCCATCTCGATTATAAGATTCAATACAAACGATACGAAATTGAAATTTAACACTGTTGTACACTTCGATAAATTTATATTTTTAATGTATGCACTGCGTGCATACATTTCACCTTATAGAAGATAAATTCATTGAATCTCTTAATCTACCAAAAAATCGCGAAAAACTCTCAGCATTTACGTCAAAGCTTAATAAGAACACTCGAGTAAATAAGTATCAAAAACCTTGGTTATAAAATTTTCCCAGAAAAGTTATTTGAAATAACAAGTACTTTAGAAAATGCTTCACGATTCTCTCGAGAATCGTAGATCGATAAGAATTTAATTAATCTGGTCCTAACATCCTTTCCAAATCGTGAATCGTCCATCCGGAAGTTAATCCGGAAACAGGGGACAAGCTAGACACCGTACAGGGACACCAATGATTCATCGATGATTAAAGGCCACGTTACCTGAGATCGTTGCCCCTGCCTCTTCTGATTCCTCGCGATGAATGGCGTGGGGGTGGGCTGCACCTGCAGTCACAGTGCATCACACACAGAGCGACGCTGGTCGCGAGAGTCACTACGAAAGGCGCCGCGAAGAAGTGTATGATGGTGGTGACCTGCGCTTCGCGGTTATAGTTCGCCATCACTATGCTGCCGTTCACACGGCTGTAATGGCAGGGAAATTTCGCGCCTTCGTAGCCCATTTTGCGGGTGAAGTTCTCGCAGTCGACGATCGGCGGATAGCCGCACCCTTTGATGTTCACCAGAAGCACCGCCTCCACATCGCCGGGAGTCGGCACTGTACAAAAAGTATTTATTTTATTTAGAAGAGTTTTCAACGAACGATGATTTTCTCGTGAGATGATGATGGAACAATATCGATAATATCTTCAGAACATCCTACGGTTAAGGAGACGAGAACTGTAAAATTGAAGATGAGCACCGATCACGAATGGACCGGTTCATGGACTCTTACAACGCACATTTTTGATGGAAGAAAATAAATATCCAATATTGATGAAAATGGAATTCTTGTTGAATGTAAATCCAGATGAAAAGTTCGAAAAAAGAAGAATAATTAAGAAAGTGAAATATAAATTGAAAATATGTATATAAGACATCCTCCTTTCAGAAATTCACTATAATGACATTAGATATTAATCATCCTTTGAATTTGGTAGAATTTCGATATTTCGATATATCTCATCTCTTCCTATCTCTTTAAACTAAGAAGATAGATATAAGAAAAGTTTTTAAACGAAAACAGTAACATTTCGAGATATTTGCTCGAACATGGAAAGGAAATTTAATAAAATTTAAAAACTGCAACAGTGTGGTAACTTCAAAGTTTTCCTATCATCGTAATATCATCTTAATAAAAAAAAATCATTTCACCTTACATTTCTTCAAACTCTATCAAAGTTAAACTACGCAATAAATTTCAAAATATCAAGATTCCATCGTTGATGTTAATTTCATTTCATTGGAAAATAAATCACAGAAGAAATATCCACAAATATCCAAACACAATTAACTAAACGACTATATTCCTGAAACATATACACACCCAAGACACTATTCTACACTTCCAGTTTCGATCATTTCTCTTCATTCCTACCACCTACGCAAAACCAACGGGCGGAATAAACATCTAGACTGGATGGATACCAGTTCTGACCGAGAAGACAGAATAAGCTCGACGCCTCCGCAGGTTGAAAACTTTCTTACCGGAAGTGGTCGAGGTGTGCGTGATGCCGGTCGAGTTGCCTCTACCCCCGGTGTCGTTCTTCATGCTCGTGTTGCTCCATGGTGTGTAGGTGACGTATATATGCGTACATCTGTAAACGTCGCTTGTACAACCCTCGCGGCAAGAACTCCAAGTACAATTGAACAATCCGGCCAACTCCTCCCGTCTGGAGGTGGTGCAGATGACCGGATCCGGCGAGAAATCGGCGGCCAGAGTGCTGATCGCCGGATCGACGTAAAGTGGCACCAAGAATAGCAAGGCCGCGCCACCGGATGTCGCGACGAAGGCCAACGCCGACGTTGCGTAAAAATTGAACCGCTGACGGCAGGTACGCCGTGGCGGTCGGCGCCGCGAAGCGCCGAACCCGAGCTCCAACAGCTTGCGACGACGTAGCTCCTGCTCCTGGAAGTCGTGTTTCTCGTTCACCTGATGCTGTTGGTGATGCCTGGTGCTGGTGTGCTGGTCGGCGTGATGATCGCTCTGACACTGGACGCAGCTCGCCTCCAGCAGGAGCTCAGAGCTGCTCCCGCGCATCACCCGACCGCTCTCAAATAGGTGCCAACCGGAGCTTCTTCAGCCGTTCCAGGGAAACGATCGAGGGTTCTCGAGGATCCTTATCTTCACTAGGACTCATCGAGCGTCGGCCACGGCAGCTTTTGTCCCTTGGCTACAGAGGGGTCAGGGGTAGTCTCGATCGCAATTCGAGCCACCTCTCGCATCGAGAGCAAGTAGCAGATCTTTGGACCGTTCGATCGAAGCACAACAATTTGCTTCGGTAATCTCATTTAGCGAGCTGCGTCATTTGATGAACACGGAGTTTTACGGTGTTTTTTGGTGAGCTGAATGTATTAAAAAAGCTCGAGGAGGCTTCGCTTTTCGTTGAGCGGATGAGGATTTAAAATGCACACTGCTTAGAACCATGTGGAAGTGAACGATACGTTTTTACGGTTTTTTGTTGATCGTATCAGTCCGATAAGTTGTTACTTTAGACTCTCGAAATGAAATAGATCTGGACCTCGTCAAAACGATCCTCCGTTATCGTTGCTCTGCCAAACACGACGATGCCTTTGAAGTCTCATGGAAATTCTGTGAAAACTCGAGAGAGATCTCGCTATCAACGCGGCACATTTCGCTAATGCCAATAAGTTCCTGATCATTCGAGTATCCTTGACACGACATAGTGCAAATCGTCGGATATTCTGCTATCGCATCATCTGACCTGTTACGAACAGTGTCCTGTCTTTAATAAATTCTCTTTCAGAGATTGTGGAATGGATTTGAAAGTTTGTTTGCTGTTCGTTATTTCAAGTGACACGGTCAGTGTCGGTTTTAGCAGTCAAACGAACCGACCAATTTGTCTGTGCCTTATAACGTTCCCGTTTTATCGCTATGCATAATGACCTTGCACGTTTAAAGTTCTTTTAGGCCATCGAAGTAAGTCGATCGATCACGACCTTTTAGCTGTAGTCACGCTGTCGGGCATAGAGCATCTTGCCTAGCTCGCTCGGCTTGGTCTTCCGATCCGCGTGGAAAAGTTTCAAGGCTGTTATCTTTGCGCTAAGTACATCTATGAATCACCTTCTCAACGAATTATCACCGAATCTCTATCTCGTAATCGACGACACTTGAGAGGATCGTTATCAAACTTAAATCCTTAGTTAGGCCTTAATATTAATTCATCACTCTCTTCGATTAACAAATATCGATAAGAATATTTAGAAATACGATATAATTCGGTTAACTAATCATTCCTGTAATCCAATTAATTTCAGTTCCCTCGCTAATAATACGTTTCTCTCTTTGTTCCGTTTTTCTTCTTCGTTCGTTCCTTCGTCTTATTCATCAAATCTAACAGATATAACAAACAATCTCGGCAACATCTATCCAACTAACGAAAGTCGATGATAGATCGATTACTATCCATTAGCGCGTATAATCAACAAGAGGCCCACTCAGAACATTGAGTCAGTTGTCCAGAATTGATCGAAATTATCTTACTCTTATTTCTTCGCGTCGATATCGTAACCGTAATCAGAAAGAAATCCGATCTTTCTTTCTAACGAACGACAGATCTTCTTCTATACTTGTTTTCTTCGCTCTTTCCTCTCGACTCTTCTTGTATAAATCCTCCAGGATATCCGAGAATTCTTATTAACCTCTATTAAATTATCGCCAATAATCGACGAACTCCTCTCTTTTCTTTTCCTCTTTCACGCGACAAAGAGCACAGTCTCCCGCTGGCTTGGATTACAAGAACGATAACACCCGCAACTGGTTGCCTCTGGCCGCTGCTTGTTGACCTAGAAATCTCGAGTTGATCGGTGCCACACCGTTGTTTACCTAAGTCAATCCGAACAAGACGCGTATCCAAAGCAGCGATATCTCTTCTGATCGAGGAATCCTCGATACCTTGCACCTACCACCGTGGTCAAAATACACCTGTCACCATATTACTCCTACGCGAGCTTCGATCCACAAGTGTCCAAAGGAACCGACCAATCTACTAACCAATAGGATGAATCGCGTATCGAAACGGGGCAAGACGAATTCCAGGCAAAAGCATGAAACACAAAGAGACACCTAACGTACGACGACAACGACACCCTGACACCTGCACCTGCCTCCTGGCTACCTCGTCACCGGTTTCGAAACCACGTCTTCGGCAGGGTCACGCGACGGATATCCGGCACAGGGTGCAGGAGCTAGGATCGGAGTGGATTTTAATGCTCGTGTTACATCGGTCACACCTGCACCTGCGACTCGCGTTCCGGGATAGCATCCGCCTCGCGGATCGCGAGTTAAAGCGTGACTACTCGTCGAAATTCGAACGAGAGTCCTCGACGGGACAAGCTTTCGTCCGAAGCGACAGGGCGGGGTTCCAGGCGCGCATGAGCGCGTATTGCCGTCTCACCCCCGCGGCCACCACCCCCACGTTGCATTCCCCTTGTTTACGCTCCTGCCTTGCTCCCTTTTTGCTCGTCTTCGCGCCGTGCTCGCAATTCTCTCCTTCTCCTTCTCCGTTATCATCCTTTAATTGCGAGCCATAATTAAACCAATTTTTTGATCCGGTTCTTTCACTCGACTTTTTTTCGCTTTTGATGGAATCGAGGAGGATCGAGGAATTGGATGGAAGATTGTTTTGATCGAATTTCTCGTGCGCGAAAATTTAATCGGTTGATTGGTTTCGATACGATGAGATGTTCTTTAATGTATAGAAGATATTAATATATTTGGGGAACATCTTCGGATGATTGATTTTAGAGATTTCAAAATGTCGATTGACATTTATTTGTTGTGAATAATATTATGAAGTTCGCGTTGGACGAAAGAAAATGAAGAATGAGATGTGATGAACATAATGTCTCGTTTTACTTATTGTTGTATTTGAATAAGTTTCGATTATTATTTCTTATATATTAATTTTTATATATCAATTTATTTCGATTCGTAGATTCGATCAAAGATATTTTACGAATACATATCAACACCTGTAGAAGTTCTTTGATTTTTCTATTAATTTTTGATGCTTTCTGTGAATATAAATCCTCTTGACAAAATACAGTAGACATTCTTAGAATATATTCGGACGTGTTCATCAAAAATCCTGATTCTTCCTTTTCATATCTTGATTTTAAAAGTTCTCTCCTTTTCTTGCGTTTCTATTACAATTATTTTATACGCAGTAGTTCGCAGATGATTTCTATTATATCTTCGTTACATATCAGCAATTAATTTTAATTACAAGTATTTTTAAATCTTTTTATTTTTATTTGCATCTCATGCTCAATTTGATATTATATTGAAATTGAATAGACAATATTTATTTTATAATTTTAATAATTTTCTGATAGAATATGTTTCTGGGACTCTAGTTCGGAGATTGATTAAAATTTGAAATAGATTGAAAATGGTAATTGTTTTATCGAAGACAATATTTTGATTGTTGTTAATATAACGAACACAAGGCAGAATTTATATAAATTGGTTTAACAAAGAAACGAGAATAAAATTCTAGTCATTGGCGTTTGAATAGAAAGAATTCGAAAATCGAATTAAAAAGTTTCTATCATACATTTGCAAATAATATTTTTAAAAAAAATTTAGTCAGAAAAAAATAAGTTTCTTTTAATTCCAAGATTAAACTGACATTTATTTCTTAAAGATCCATTTCTCATTAAAAAATTTTCTCCGTTTAAAGTCAATCTCCTAGATTGAATTACTTTTTCGAAAGCTGTATGCTTTTGCGGCTACCTTTTTCATTTCCTACTACTTCATGATATTTAAAGATCTAAAGTTTGACCTTTTTAAAAATATTTTCTTGTTTTTTCAGTAAAAATTTGATTAATATTGAAAACATATATAAAATTTGTTAAAATAAGTACATATATGTTTATCATTAATTTTCAGAAAAATGTATCTCATGAAAATGAACAATAATTATATTCTTTTCGCTTAGAAATTAATTTATCACATTGAATCGAACTTTTATCTTTTTTGAAAATCCTTCTCTAATTATTTAAAGAATCAATTAATCCCTCTAACAAATTTATTTAAAAATAAAAATATTAATATAAAAAATACTTCAAGAAGAACCTCAAATCCATCACATTGAACCTTCCATTCTTTCTTTTAAAAAATTCTTTCAAACAATATCGAGGAAAACTGACTAAATTCACAAAACATCTAAACAGAAAATTTTTTTCTCGTCGTTCAGATACATCTCATTTTTCAATTCTCTAAAACATTATATTCATCTTGAAAAAAAAACATTTCACCTACATCGTTTATTTGGCGCATAAATCATCCCTGTGGCCAATCTTTCGAACTTGTACCTCATATTTTTTGCCACGTATCAAACGATTCGGATCCCTGAACCATGTTTTGGGCGCAAAACTGTAGGCCAGGGCGCAACAAAAGCAACAGTTTGCTCGTAAATCCTGTGGTCGTTAAGTTGGCGCAAAAAGGAGCGTGGCGTTGCTCGCTTTACTAAAACATTAATTATGCGAATTCTGAGCTTTTCAGCATATGAATTGTAAAAAGATCGTTCTCGCGATAATAATCGCGATTTCTTTGAAACTATGGTAAATCTCTTGGTTATTGTTCCATTCTTAGAGTATACTTCTTTTGAGGGAAATGTTATCATCAGTGATGATTACAGAAAGGATGAATGATCGTTGGAGAACCAAGCAAAAATTTGTTTAAATTGTTTTGGACTTAAATAATTCTTGAGTTTTTTTTTTTTTTACTTAAGTTTTCTTTTAATGAAATTTTCAATTCAATGATAAGAAAAAGTAGAATGTTTTTACATTCATAAAAATCAGTAAGATTATATTTTTTATGCATTTTTTTTTAATAGTAATTATAGGTTTTAAAATGTTTTAAATATATATTACAATAAATTGTTGGTCTTCATCAGATTATTAACAAGTTTCCAATTGCTTTTATCAATCTCTACAAATAATAATAAAATTGCATTGAATGTTTGAGATAAATCGAGAATTGAATGCCAAAGAATCATTTTCAATCTTACTTAACGATACAATACTCTTTGAAGATACATACTTCGAAATAGAAAAGACGTATACAATGCATTCAAATCTTTCAATGCGTCTTTCATTTTCTCTTGTGAGAGTAAATTTCAATAAATTATTATACAAAACAAAAATTATTGAAAGATTCTTCGTTCTCGTGCATGAGGGATGCAATGACGATTCATGGCTGATATTTCAAAAATATTAATCTCCGGGATTTTTTCAATAGTGGCCTCGGGTCCTCTTGTATAAATATAACTTGAACTGCATTCGAGAAAGTCGACACAATGGATGTCGTCTTATCATGATTTAAGCAATCCGTCCTCTTAAAATATCGTTTAACCGATAGACGGAAGTTTCTTTGGTTAAATCGATGTTTCATCGGCTTTGAAAAGTTTTATCAAACTCTGGATAAATGTAGAATGAAGTGGTAAATAATTTACTCGTGATATATATTGGCAATTTAAACGCAGCATTGTTTAAATCAATTATTCGCGTATCTGATTGCTAATTGTCAGGGAGAAATTAGATATGTTCTTGAAATTGATACGAGTAATTCATTTTTGATTATTTTTTTTTCTTAAAAGTAATTTTTACGTAACGGAATAAAAGATATTTATATTTTACTTTTTTTATTCCTTATTTCTTGAAACTTTATAATATATTTTCGTGTTTTGCTCTTCATTGACAATATTTTTCAAGAAAAATATTATAATTAAATCATAATTCTCTTCTCAAATTTTATAATTATCTAATGAGTAATTTAATGGTTCTCATAAAAAATGATTTTTATCAATATTCATCTTCTTAAGATCTTTAATTTTTTTTTGAAAAATTTAAATTTTCTTCAATAAAATTAATTGTACTATACATTATATTCTATACATTATATCGTAAGAAATTAATAAATATCTAATCAAACCATTAAGTTATAACATGGATATTATGATCGAAGTTAAACAAGTATTATTTTATTATGAATCCTTTAATTTATTTAATAAACGCGAAGATAAAGTTGTCAATGAAAAGTTAAATTAATGAAATTTATGAATAAATGTGTCGATTCTGAGATTCATAATTTATATAATATCTAATCACGTAACGATAAAATATTATCCCAATTTGTACAACTCCTGAATCCACGACACAACAATTTCTCAGAACGAAGACAGAACTTTTTGAAGGTTCTTGGCTTCGGGAATGGCACGTGTACTACTAGAAAGCCGCATAATTCCCACGAGATTCTTATCCAAGTTTAACGAGTAGCAGAAAATGATACAGCAGAAAATCAAGCGAGTCATTGGCGATTGTCCTAGATCAATGGCTATGCGACCTTAATTCGCCATTTAAGCCACGATGAACGCGCGATAAGAAGACGGCCACCAGGGAGTTTATTAACGCGACTTCCACTGCATCTAGATTGGACTCTGTATCGCGCTACCTTCTCTACAGCTTTGATTTAACCGCGACAAAAGTTCCCGTCGTCTGGGTCGTTGGCGAACATTATTACCCATCTTATCCTCGCGATTGCATGTCCCGATCTCGGCGGAAGATCTTTCCTCGGAATGAAGAATTATGCGATAGGAATTATGCGATACAAAGGAAACTGACCACTTTCGTTTTAAATTTTTCACAGCTTTGGGTAACTTTTAGCGATTGTCATATGATAACTCGCT